GAAGATTGAATCATGTACCTAATGGGTGGAGAATTTGATGATACACAAACAAAAGCTAGTAATCATCTTTGAAACTACCAAGTGTATTAAGTGTGGCCTTTGAGTAAGAATTAAGGCAAACTACAAATTGAAGTCCAGGACCACTTTCTGGGCAAGAAGGTATGACAGGAGAAGGAGACAAACCCAGCATTAGGGAGAGCAAAGACCAATAGATATTGGACACCATAGCTGCATTTCTCTCAGGAAAATATCCTGTTCTCCATGGTTTATACATGCATGTTTTGTTCACTGGTGGGTTGCGCAAACCTAGCCAGACTTCTGGACTTAAAGGAGCCATATTCTAAGAAGGGAGGTGAAATGCTACATTCCAGATTTACTTCTGACTTTATGACTGATTTTGTCATTTCCATTTCCATTTCTGATTCCAGCACCGCATTGATTTTCTCCAGTTAATGATTGATTCCCAGAATTCCCAAGACAAGGAGCCCTACCAAGGTAACCAAGAATGTTTCATGGTCCATTGACAGGGAAATTCAAATAAGCAAATTATGCTGAAAATATACACGTTTTCTAGAGAAAATAGATTTCCACCAAATTGCAGGAAGATACACATTTGGATATTGAAAATGGTGCCCACATGTACTGTCTAGAATCATACAGGTGTAACAAGGCTCAAAAATTGAATGGAAACTAGGAGAAAGCATTTCAGTCTTGAAGTTAGTCTGTTGTCTTTTTACCATCGACATCAGAACAAATGCTGATTCGCAGCCTCATTCAGATGCACTGAATCAGAACCTCTGCCTGGATATTTGCATTTGTACATCCAATCAGGAGGTTCACTTTCCCAGTAGTGGTGAGGGTCAATGGCAGTACTGGGTGAAAATGTGTTCACTAGCTTCATCTGATATTAAAATTAACTTTACCCATGTAATTCATAAGAATGTTGTGGGGGAAACCTCTGATACCGTGTAAACATTCTATTCCTCAGCATACTTTCACCAACTAGTTTTAACATACATGGATGATTTTTGATAGAAAGCATTTGTATTATGATGTTTACAAACTTCTGTCTTTTTCATTCTATCATCTACTGTACATTTATGAGTTGATATTAGATTGTAAGAGAGTTCCATTCTTATTTATGTCAGTATGATGTTATATACTATGAATTTATTCTTTTGCTATCATTTTTTATTTAGATGGTCAAATTCTCTTGGGCTTAAGTCTTTTAACAACTTCTCTTTTCTCCTTCTGTTCCTCCTCCCGCTCCTCTTCCTCATCTTATATTTTGATTATTAAATTGACTATATTTTATAGCAGTTTTAGTTTCATAACAAAACTGAGAAGAAGGCATAGAGATTGCCCTATCCATTTTTTCTCTAAATTCATATGTTGCCCCCATTACAAACATACCTCACCAAAATGATATATTTGCCATAATCAATGAACCATCACAGAGAAGTCACCTTACCCCTAAGTTCATAGGTGAACATAAGGGTTCTTGAGTTTGTACATTCTATCAGTTTTGATACCTATATAATTATATGTATCCACATTGTAGGAGCATACACAGTATCACAATGTTTTCTCACATTGTTTTGGGAGAACATTCTTGCTTTCTGGTGCAAGAAACTCTAGGTTCCTTGTCTATTTCCTCTGATCAGGCCTGGAATCACCCATTTTTCCAGAATCTCTGGCTCCTTTAAGTGAGAGATGGTATTAGAAACCAAAATCTGGAAGTGTAATGTGACCATTACTACTATAGTTTCTTCTAGATTCTTTGTCTGAACAGAGATATGAAAGTAAAATACATTAGTGCAGACTGAGCACTATAAATATTTCTATGTTAGTTTTTATACATGGTTTAAACAGTAATCCTCTTTCTGATTTTACTACAACTTTCTGTGGTGAAGGAAGTACTAAATATACATATAGTTCATACAGTAAGCGCTGGACACATGACTATGGAGCTTTTGGCATGTAGGTAATGTTACTGAAGAAGTGTACTTTCTATTGTTATTTAGATTTAATTTATTAAAATTTAAATTTAGATAGACACATATGGTTAGTGGCTACCAGATTGTACTGAACAGTTGTAACTTAAGTTTATAATCCAATTTCATTTCAGTATCATTGGGTTTATGCCAGTAGTGGGGAAAACACAGTTTGAGTTTTCCCACAATAGCATCATAGAAAGCTTCTGTAAGCTAGAGTTCCATGTAGATCTTTCTCACACTGATTTTGTATTAGTTTTTGTTATGAATTACATGGTTGGAATGTATACCATGTTTCTTTCAGGTATTTGAGTAACAACAAATCCTAATCATTTCCCCAATCAATGAGATAAATACTTGAATGTGACTTTCCAGGAGAAAAGTGAATAGAAACAACACCGTCTATCACAAAGGCTGTTTGATGATTATGACGTTGAGCAAATAGAGGGGACATGTACTAGGGAAGATGACATTCAGCCCAAGATTGATAAGCAATGTTAATTCCATTCACTGAACCCCATCGTCCTATGGTTTCTGCCTAATTTCTTGTATGAACACATTCTTTCTTGTGTGATTTTAATACCACTCATCAGACTCCGGTTAATCACTACTCTTTTGGGTTTTTTTTTCTCTGTATAGTTTCTGCACACCCTGAGATCATCCATTTTGAAGACTGGTGCCCCATGTCTTCTATTACCTGATGATTCTTAGGCTAGGTTGTGAACAAGGTTGACCACATCTCATGAAAGTTCAGATTTCAATTTGGTAGCTCTAGAGCAATGCTTGAGCTTCTGTGTTTCTAATAAGCTCCCTGAAGCTGTTGATGCTGCTGGTCCATGGACCACAATTTGTGTAAAAAAATTTCTCTGTGGCTCAGTATAGTTCTGTCAATCATGGCCTTTATTTTCCCTGCAAAGATGCCAGTATTGCAAATGCTTTCAAGGTTCTTCAACCTACATTCTAGATAGAGTAAGTTTATTTTTTTCCCAGGGGAAGAGTGCTACCCACTATTTATAGCTAAATAACGTTCATGATATGCAAGGCACAATTGAAAAATACTGTTTGTTTGACATCCATACTGTCCCTTGAAATCACCCAGTTGTGTTCGTGATGGGGAGGTGGCAGAATGAGGAACATTATGAATTGCTCTTCAGTTTTTCCTCATGGGATTTTGGATCATCATTCTGACTTATGTTCATGTAAATGGTAAAGTGTGCATGGACCTGCTTAGCCTAAATTGTCTTTCCTCTCCTTTTAGGTCTATCTGATCTGGAGATTGCAGCCCAGTCTATTATCTTTATTTTGGCTGGCTATGACACCACTAGCACCAGTCTTTCATTTATTATGTATCTACTGGCCACCCACCCTGATGTCCAGAAGAAGCTTCAGCAGGAGATTGATGAGACTTTGCCCAATAAGGTGAGTGAATGGCACCTGGAGGAAAGAGGATAGGTAAAATCTCTGGGCATCTCAGTGTGCCATTGGGCAGTTCTAAAATCATGATGGTTATTAAATGCTTTGTAAATGCTATGGAATTTTACCAATATGAGTTATTTGAGAAGCTCTGAAAACATTAGTGTACTGTGTCAACAGAGTTTTAAGTCATTTCCAAATCTTAATTTACAAAAAATTTCTTTCTTGCCAGGCACCTGTTACATATGATGTACTATTTGAGATGAAATATCTGGACATGGTGGTGAATGAAACTCTCAGATTATATCCAGTTGTTGAGAGAATTGTGAGAATCTGTAAAAAAGATGTTGAACTCAATGGGGTGCTCATTCCCAAAGGAACAATCGTGGCTATACCAACATATAGTCTTCATCAAAACTCCACGTACTGGTCTGAACCTGAAAAGTTCTACCCTGAAAGGTACAGGGCTCCTGAGAAAGGAAATCCACCCTTAAGAGGCTGTTTCACACATATTCTGAGGTCTTTTAGTGCAGATGGCATACATGTGATTTTAAAATTTTCTTGTTTTAAGAAAATTTTAAGAAGTCTTTTACAAAGTGGTAATTGTTTTAGAAAACAAACATTAGAAAAAATAAATGACTATAGCCATTTAAGGCCCTAGAATATCAAGATAAGCCCTATCTTTTATTAATGTGATAAATGTCAGTATGGACATTTTTATATAAATGTGTAGTTTTTAAGGACTGAAATGCTATCACATTTCATTTGATATTGAACTGTTTTTTATTTTATTTAACAGTAATCTATAAACCTTTCTGCCACTTGACCACTCTCTTATTTTAGGTGCTTATCTTTTTTAATCGTTTTAGGGTTTTTGTCCTGTTCATTTTAGCTCCTTGAATTTTGTACCAGCATTAGGAAGCACTTCTACCTTCCACTTGATTAAACATTGCTTCCTGGTTCCTCCAGCACAATTGTTAAATACAAGTTAAGGCCTGAGAAACCCCCCACCACCCAGATGGTTTAAGCAGCCTCACTGAGGATGGAGAGAGCTCAGATCCTCTGAGTCTTGTCTCTGGAGTGTTCTGGGCCAGCTTTTCATACTATCCAAAGTTGAAGACTCTTTCAAAGCCAAGTAACCTGCCCCCAAGACACCTGAGATATTCATCCTTAAATATGTCTTGACCTTGGTCTTCTGAAAATTTGAATCCAAACTCACAGTTTGCACTCTGGAAAGAGTTACTGTTTTCCTGTTGTTGTACTGA